GTGGTGAACAAGATTTGTTTCGGAAATTTACACAGGGCAGAGAAAGCCTTTAGAAAAGTGGGCACTTCCAAAGAAAAGGGAGAGCTTTCTTCTATAACGATGCGAAAACAGTACTAAACAGAGAACCTGCCAGCCAGAAAATAAGGACTACTTCAAATAAAATCTTCAGATTAATGGAGTCAATCCTCCTAAAGAATCAATAAATCACAGACTGTTTTTGGAAAGACAAATTAGAATGTGAAGCAGCAATTATCACTTCAAGCGACAGTCAGAAAGCAAACATTTGTCACCATAATTAAACTGGGGTGGCCCAGTGGCACAGAGCTGTCTCACAGCACAGGGACCCAGGGTTCAATTCTGGACCTGTGGTGCTTTCTATGTGAAGTTTGTGTGTTCTCCCCAGTTTTGTGTGGGTAGGTATGCCAGGGACATACTGGCAAGTTAATTGACTCCTGGGAAATTTGGCCCTGGTGTGACTGTGTGTGGGTCTGTGTTTGTGTCTGCCCTGTGATAGAGTTCTTACATTTATATATTATACATTATATAATTAGATAAATTACATTATGTAACTACATTTTCTTCTTTTATACTTTTTATTTTTTTTGTGTTACTACATATAATCTGTGATGGACTCTCCAGGATATACCCTGCCCTGCGCCCATTGCTTGCTGGGATAGGTTCCTTATCCCCTGCCACCGTGAACTGGAAGAAGCAGTTCGAAAATGGATAGATGTTGTAAAATACTTTTAGGCTTGCAATGGCAGTGTAGTCATTGCTTTTTAACTCTCACCCCTCATAAGGATGGGATGGCAGGTGGTTTGATTCATTCAGCTATACTAATACTGAAGGATTGTTTATATCCTTGGACATGGAGTAATTTTCAACAAAAGGAAACTTGGAAATGTTTCTCTTAGACCTCTCTGATCAAAGTGAAGACACTTACATCATCTTGTTATCAATAATCATCACTATCATTGCATGGACACTGGATATAGCTGTTTTTTATAATTTCTAGTAAGATACTACAGCTTTTTTGCACTGTTTGCCTTATGATTTCTGAAAAAAAATTAGATTCATTTTTGTTCCAAGTTAAATAACACAAATAAGTGTTAGCTTTCTCTGGGAGGTTGGTAGAAAACAACATTTGTGAAAAATATATGAGAATGTACTTTCATTAGTAAATCAGTTAAAAAACATAAGCAGAGTAAGTAATAATAGCACTTTTAAATGCAAAGTGTCCTAGGTTTACAAAGTAGTAACAGACCAGTAATTTGACAGCAGACAAATGTATTCTTAAAGTTATTTATAGAATTGCCATTTAATCAGAAAGAAGTGTACAGTAACCCTCTGGAAACTGATTTTGAGGAATGACAGCACACTAAAAATGCAACTGGCTTCCTTTGTTTCTGTACAGTATATGAAAAAGTGAACCTTTAAATTAAAAAAAATGTATAACCTTTGACAGCAGATAAAAAAGGGGTCATATCCTGAGAAAGTGTTATTTTAATAGTATGACCTACACCACACCCAGTGACAGCTCAGTCTTACAGACTTATATCTGAGGAGCTAGGCAGAGACTATGAACTCGGTTTATATATAGATTTCCTGAAGCTGTCATTTTGCTGCTGTTCCTTTTCTATTATAATTAAACCACAATAATAAAACAATTTGATTAAAATTGCAATTTTCTATTAGAAATGTGAACATTTAAACCACAATAAGAAAACAATTTGATTAAAATTGCAATTTTCTGTTAGAAATGTTAACATTTTATTCATTCACCTGTATAAGAATTCTAGAAGTAATTTAATCCTGTAAGTTATGACTCCAGGTTTAGTTGATACTGTAATTCTTATTTTTAAATGGTTGTCATGAGCAGTAGTTCTCAAACGTCAGCAGGTCTCAATTCTCTTCAGAAAAAAGACTCTCCATCATTATGTACAGCTTGGTATCGTTTCTTCTTTCCCAATAACAACTGCTTCTGTGATAGAAACATATGGATCTTGAAGCAACAGTGATTTCCAATGGCTCAGCTAACTTTTACAGAGCAGACTTTAAAAGAAAACATACATGTATATTGTAAATACCTAACAGCCAAACCACTCGACATGGAAGAATAAATGAAAAGCCTTGTCATGGTTAGGAATGGCTGTGTGTGTGTGCTTCTTTTTTCAAACGACATCAGTGCAGAACACAGTGAGCACACCGCTTGAAACAGCAGAGGTGGAGCTGAGGCCAGAGAAATGAGGACGATTGCCGGGAGACACATGGGAGGGATTCCCAAGAAACGTGTTCATCCATCAACGTGCTTCTCTCCTGCAGGAATTTAAAATAGCTCTGTGTGAACATGACCTCTCTTACTCCGCGTATTAAGAAAGTGTGTGTTTAAACTAAGCAGTAAGACGCGGAGTCTGGAGCTGCAGCCAAATTTCCTCTGTGGTGTAGGTGTGGTGCCCCAGCTCTGGCAATAGGAGACAGAGGGGCGGGGGGGGGTTGGCGGAGGGGTGTGGAGAGAGAGCAGAGAGCGCCAGTTGCTGGGCAGCAGGCCAGATCGTCAGACGCCAGGCCTGGCAAGGAGGGCGGTGGGAGAGGTCACCTCGCTGGCTCTCTGCGGCTGATCTTATCAGACGCAGCCACCGCAGGCAGCAGGAACATCCCCAGCTTCCTGTCCATCGGTGCGACAGAAACACAAATTGTGAGAATTCAAAGCTCGCTGCAGTCCCTCTCCCACCCCTCGCCCCCTTCCAGTAAAGTTCCAGTGGGCTCATATGTATTTATTTATCTGCACTTACTAGGAGAATGCGGTGCATTTGTTTTCTTGCCATAAAATAATAAACACAGGGCATAAATGATAATGCTCTAACCACGCTACAATCAAAGACTGAGAAATTTCTCCAGCGCTCAAGATCCTCTATAGATAGTGGTGTGGCTGTCTCCGTTTCAGCACAAGATGAAATTCTCTGCTACAACCTTTCCTGTGTATTGATTCTGGGGCGTGTGGTGCAAAAGTATAATGCAAACCACATTTTCCCACACACATCACTACAAAGAAGGCACAACCACTCTTAACCCACTCAAAGATCACTTGAGGTATGCTACACAAGCCTTAATTATTTAGTTACTATTTTGCAAGTTGCATTAATAGAGCTCCTGGGGTATGTGAAACTGCTAGCAAAACTAATGCAAAGTCTGCTACAAAACAAATAAATTATAATCCTTTGCCATTAATGTCGCAGAACTGAACTGTAGTAGTAGAATAATTTTTATTATGAGCCAGTTTAGTTGGTGTAAGACTAAACCTAATGGAACACTAACAAACATAAAAATGACACTATAGAATTGCTGCCTCTTTTGTCCTCTTTCATGACTGGAACACTGATAATGCACGAGGATGGGATGTTTTGTGTGCAGTAACCACAGACACAGCTTTGAAAAGGACAGACACAGCTACCAATAGATGTTGTGCATCAATCCCAGCTCCCCTAGCTGGGATGCCTGGAAATCAGTCAGAAGTGAAGCACGTTTAAGAGGCACTTCTTTACACAAAGGGATGTGGGAGTTTGGAACATACTACACAGTCATAGTGTTAGAGCTGATGTCCTGGTTTCTTTTGTGAAATGGCTGGACAAGTTCCTCGGATCAATTAGCTATTAGGATCTAAAAGAACTAAATAGTCTTCTCTCATTTGTAAATTAATTTTAATAAGCAGTAACCGAAGGCATTCTCTCCTCTTCACCACGTTCAGACTTTCACAGGTTGAGACACTAGGGATTCTTTTGGTCCTTGATTTATTTATTTTTTACATTTTCGGGTTATTTTTTAAATGTCTTTTCCAAAAAGCTGGAGTTAAATAGGTCACTAATGAGGCCCTGTAGTATTTGCCTGGAAGGAAGCAACATACAGAAGTTGGTTCCTATTGTATTATATTTTAGTATGTTCTTTTGTGTTATAAAGGACAAAGGGTTATTGAGTCTCCAACATCAACGTTCTCTTTTGCTGGACAAAAGGACAGTGTACTGCAATGCTCTTAAAAATAGCCACGCTGCAGCAACAGGCAGCACTTTATAATGAAAATAACTTGCTCACAAGGGCTTTATGTGGTCTTTTCCTGAGTTTCAAGACAAATTTAAGTACTTACTATCATGGTGGAACTGTTCTCTGTCCTGATTTAAGGATTTATTATTTTCAAAGATATTTATAGTGGTCAATATCATACCAACTTCAATATCCCATAAATTAATGGAACTCCTATAATTATTATTTTACTATTTTCTTAATCACTCAGTACTTTTATATGTACTTATAAATATACTGTTAGTAGACATGGTTTTACATTTATTATAACATGCAAATTATTTTGGGGAAATATTATAGGAATTAACTCAAAGCAAATAAATGCCATTAAAACACACTAAAAACCTGAAACGTTCCTTTTTAGGTAGGCACTTGAGTCATTTGTATTGTTAAAAAAAGGTGCAAGAAGAGCCAATAAGATAAACTGAGAATTTTGTCTTAAAAAAACAGCCTGTTTATAGGGTTATGTTAATGTCTGTTTTCACATTTGTGAATTTATTGAGATTTTTTAGATGGGAAAAGGAAAAGGGGTAAAAATGCTTTGAGGATTCCTATAGTTTTTCAGCCCTTTGCATTTCTTCTGAAAATGGGCTGCTAATGACTTTGGCTTTGATTTTGGTCATCTGTGACCGCAGTCGTGCCTTTGGAGAGGATAGAGAACTTGCAACCAAGCAGAGGAAGAGAATACAGCATAGATCCAAGCTGTTAACCTAAATTCACTTAATGTTCTTGTCCTGTCCTCTATTGGTCTTGGGAACAATACCCCTCTCGAATTTCACCATCCCATTGGGTTGGTGGGGAGAGGAACTCCTCCTCTAGCTGTCCCACAAAACGTCCCTCCTCCTTCCCTGTGCTCTGATTGGTGTAGAATTTATATATTTACACCATGAGCTTATCAACACACACCACTAGTTCCAAATCTCTGGGAAAAAAGGTCTAGAGAAAGTTTGGCAAGCCTTTGAGAGGTAAAGGAAAAGGTAAAAGTTAGCGTGCAGTTGTCATTTTTTTTAAATTAACAATACATTTTTCACAAAAACAAGGTTTTCTTGCTGGAATGAATATATCTGAGTCTAATTATTGTAGAGAGGAGACTTCTCAGCCAAGGGGCGATTGTTCATGGGTCGCAGCCCACAGCCCCAGCTCTGATCGCGGGCTGGGGTTCAACCAGACCCGAATAGGAGATCCAGGATCTGTGGTAGGAGCTGAGGGCCGGACTGCCAGCCCCGAATCTGGGTGTGGATTGGGTCCGGCCTCGGGAATCTCAGAAGGGAAATCTGGAGCAGAGTCTAGGATTCGCCGGCCCATGAACGCTTTCATGGTGTGGGCAAAAGATGAAAGAAAACGTCTGGCTCAGCAAAACCCCGATCTGCACAATGCAGTCCTGAGCAAAATGTTGGGTAAGGCACTTTTTAAAATATGTAATGCATCTTTCAAAAAATGTGCATGTTTTTAATGTGTGCTCTTTCTCTAAACAGATTGAAATACACTGCAGATGTACTGTATGAACTACAGAGCTGTTTCTCATGCTGTAATTATATTATACTTATAATCATACTGTAATTACTGTGCAAAGAGAAATACCCTTTTTACCTCCAACCATGCATATGATATTTTTGTTTGTGTTTTTGGTTTTGTTGGTATTTTTCAGCATGTTTTTAATTTTTGGTCAACATCACAATACACAGCATGGCCAAGTACTAGTGTTCCTAGTAATAAATTCTTGAAGTCTGCAATCACAATCATTTGTATTGACTCCATTTTCACGGCTGTGTTATTGAAATGCTGATTAACCTCTTGCAGGCCAATCCTGGAAAGCTCTGAGCACGGTCGAGAAGCGTCCATTTGTGGAAGAAGCTGAGAGACTCAGGCTCCAGCACCTCCAGGATCACCCCAATTACAAATACCGCCCAAGGAGAAAGAAGCAAGCCAAGAAAATCAAGCGGATGGAGCCAAGCCTCCTTCTTCACGGCCTTTCCCAGACTTGCGGTGGTGAAAACTACAGCATGAATCACCAGAATGGGAGCCAGTCGGGTCACCACCAGCTGCCTCCGCTAAACCACTTCAGAGACCTGCACTCCGTGGGCTCGGAGTTTGAGAGCTATGGGCTGCCAACGCCTGAGATGTCTCCTCTGGATGTGCTGGAAGAAGGCGATCCGGTCTTCTTCCCACCCCATATGCATGACGACGTGAACTTGGTGCCCTGGATTAACTACCACCACAATCCGCACCACCACCACCACCACCACCTCCCACCCCCCCAGAAGTCCCCAGAGAGCCACCAGGAGAAGCGGCACATCCCTGGGCCTGAGGGGACACACATGTCCTTCTCCCAGAACCCCGTGGGCGTTGCTGAGGCGGTGAAGGGCTCCCACACCAGCAGTGTTTATTACAACCAGGTCTACTCAGGCCCACAGGGGGGCTTCACAGCTCATCTGGGCCAGCTCTCACCTCCGCCTGAAGCTCCCACTCTGGACAATGTGGAGCAGCTTAATCACTCTGAGTTCTGGACAGAAGTTGACCGCAACGAGTTTGACCAGTATCTGAACATGAGCAGGACTCGTCTCGAGGGCCCGGGACAGCACTACACAGCCTCCATGTCCAAGGTGCCTCCCAGACATATATCTTGTGAGGACAGCCCCTTGATATCAGCCTTGTCAGATGCCAGCAGTGCTGTGTACTACAGTGCCTGCATCACGGGGTAGACTGTCAGTGAGCTGGTGTGGAAATTGACACTTTTGTTTCAGAGCAAACTTTGCACCATTGTTCTCATCGAGTCATACTGAAGCGTCGTTTTTTCTCACAAACATTAACGCATGATAATGGGAAAATCATTCCATTATGTGCACCTTATTTTTACCACTGATTTTCAGTATACTTGTGATTAACTGGGGCAAAATCTGCACTGGTTCCAAAGTGCATGCATTTGGGAATCTGTTTTCTATTTGTATAAAATAGCCTGATACACAAAAGCTATGATAATATTAAACTATGTTAAAGAGCATACTTTCTAAAATTATAGGTATGTCCCCACATAACGAAATTGCATTGATAAAATGTTCTAGGGTGCATGGCAACAGTATAATAAAATGAGGACATTTATTATCAAAATGGAATCTGAGAAGCAGCGATAATGAACTAGTTACAAAGAATGTACTGTTTTGTCGCTCCTCAAACCTAGTCTGTAAGTTGTGGTTGTTGTTTTTTTTAAGCATTTTGATTGTAGACAAATAATTTTGTTTAATCTGAGCAGGATCTCAGCCACAAACTGCTTGAAATCCAAATCCAAAATGGACCAAACTCACTATTCAGGCCCTCCTGATAACTGTTGAATATAGTTGGTATAAATATGTTAAAACCAGTATTTTATTATCCTTGTCATTTTCTAATTGATTGAATTGGTTCTAATATTTGATATTTTTACTGTACGTGTCCTCCATGACAGAATACTTTCAGAAAAGATTAACTATCACAGATAAAACTAAAGAAAATGGTATATTCCCTCAGTGTTTTTAATAATCAGAGTAAAATTGCTGCAGTCGCTCACATGTTCCGTCGTTTTAAATTTCCTGGACACAGACAGCAAGCTCCAAAAATGCTAAATTTCTTTTATTTATAATAACAGCACTGGTCATTACACAATATCTATTAAAATTGTTGATTTCATGGTTACTTTTGTATTATTCTGTCTGTAAATATTGTCAATTTTTATATATATTTTAAAATTGCTTAAAATTGTTGTGCAAAATAAAATTTGAATGGTGATATCATGTGTTGGTTAAGTTTCGGGTGAAAGTATTGCAATTCAGTGTCACTGACATGTCTTCAATATACTGTACTTGCTAGTTTTGTAATTATTGACCAAGTCTTACTTGTTCCTATATTTATTTATTTTTTTCAGTTTTAGACAGGACAAACATGATGAGTCTGAGAACTTTTTTTTTAAAGCCACAATGTTTCAGTCTTAGTTTATAGTGCTGTCTGATTTCATTTTCCTGGATTTTTGATAGACCACAAAATGAGTTTGGCTCATGAAGCAATTCTTCCTAAACCACTTACACAAAAATAAACAGGGGAAAAAATAAGAAATAAGTAGTTCTTTTTCTTTCTTTTAAATTAAGAAAAATATGTCCAAGGATCAAAGAAAGTATTTTTTAAGAAAGCATTCTTTTGCTCTGCTCTTAGGCCAGATCAAATTATATAGACTAGAGCATTGTTTTCTCATACTTTAGAAAAGTCGCAAAAACCTAATACAAAACATTTAAAACCATTCTTACACCTTTTGCAAATGGGAAATGAAAACAATCACTTAAAACGGAAATAAACATTACTAAACTGAAATAATAATTCGTTGTTTTTTTAAATGAACATACCTTGTCATGTTTATTTACGAAGGGCACATGTGCTTTTTGCCTTGTGACTGTACAAACAGCAATGAACATCCACCACAGGATATTGCTGGAAGGGCCTGCTGACCTAGGCTTTGCCAAATGTCCTACAAGGAAGTAAAGGTCAGGCGTGAGTCGTTAAATTTCAGACGGCCAATTAGTTAATGATAAAATTAGCAGAAATGTCAAAACAGAGGAAAATCCTGTTAAATCCCTTAGGTGTTGAGAGCTGCTTTCTGACTAGGAAGGATGCTGGAGGCAACATATCCTTTTTCTGTCTAAATACCTTACCTCACTGTCTTCTGATGAGGCGTCTCTCAAGTGGAAAAAATCCACCACGTTAATATGTGTAGAGAGCTCATTAGCCTTTCCATGACTTGTGGATGCTAATATGTTCGACTAAAGATACATCCTCACTTTGATAAGATGGTAAGATAATGGTGAGTGATTAATTCTTCTCGGATCTTAATTAGTTCTCTGCTCTATTTTTATCCAACAACTATGTTATATTACCATGCAGACTGTGGTTACGTTGTAGTTTTTCTTGACTTGAAGACGGGGTTTCACATGTTTAATGAAAAGCACCTCTAAAATATAACTACAAATCACACCAAGATATAGTAAACACAACATGATCTGCCTCCTCAGTTACATTCTTTTCTAGTTAAAGTTGAAATATGTTAATACTGTATCCTTATCCAGCGTTCAGATATAGTGAGTGGTCGAAATCCATGTAAAAGTGGATACAGTATTCCAATTTTATATTGCTTTGATTCCCAGGGATTTGTTTTGATGAGAAAAAGAAAATGACCACAGTATCATACATTAAAACATAGCTATAATTATTAGATTTAAGGACACATCAGCAACAAAGTCCATCAAAAGCAGAAATACAGTGTAGCTGTAATGTGTCAGCATATGACAGGAAAAGAACCTCTCGCTGTAATACTCAAATATGGTATCTGATTTAATCAAGGCAAGCCATATCATAGTTCCTTTGCCAAAGCAGAAATACCTTGAGAGGTCAGACAAACAAGGACCGGCCTGCTAGTCTCCACAGTGTGTAGGATGTATAATTTGGCCTTGTATCACACTTTCATGTCACAGCGTGTTGCACATCTGCAGGTTTGATACATGACTACACATTTGATTCAACAGCTCAGCTTTTAGGAAAATGCTGCAATGCCAGAGAAACAGAATAAAAGAGTCTAATCTCAAGTGGCAGAGTGATCATGATGAATAAATGACTGTCTTCTGGAACAGCCTGAGGTTGTTGATATCTCCCACCTAAGACCTCAATGTTTCAGATTGAAATTACATTTCTATAGATGACAATTAACAAGATTCTGCTGCTAATTTTAGACAATGTGAGGGTGATTGGATGATGTCATTGTGCATAACAATACAGGATATCTGGCTCCTTCCTCATCTTTGTCCCATACAAAGCAGTATATGGCAATGGGTATCCTGTGCAAGCTTGCAGGCGTCTCACATTGAATGGAATTACTTTAAGGCATGGCCGCTGTTGAATCACAATAATGTCACAGAAAATGACTGATTGGGCTAAAATGGAATGGCACTAACAATTGTTATATCATACATGTCCTGCTGAACAAACTAATAACACAATGCAATCCTGAAAAGGTCTTTTTCTTTATTGATAATAACAAATCCAAGGTAAAGTGACAATCCATCTCTGATATAGCTGTTATTTGCAGCTGCCTGGTGATTGAGATATTGAGCAGCAGCATTACTGAGAACAGATGTCCCAATGAACCTCTTTAGAATAAACACAGGCTAACCCTTAGAATCTACAATCAGTTACTTCTCAAGAAATTCAGAGGTTTTAAATTACGTTATGATATTTTTGCTGTGGTTATTTAGGGGAGGGTAAAGGGTGGCCAGCTATGTAAATAATAACAGGTGTAGTGCTTCACTGATGAACTCTTATAACTGAGTTGCCAAACTCACTAACTGAGTAATAAGATAAAATGAAAGATCATATCGGGCATTTGTGCGCACTCAATCAATACCCGAAGAATTTCACCCCTTTTCCCTGACCCTGGTATAATAGTCCTTTTTTTCTTGGCAGTGTGGCCTTTAATTAGAATGTCAAGGTACATTACAGCCAAGCTGTTTCTTGACCACTAAATGCCAGCTCCTCACTAGGAATCACAATAGCTCTATGTGTTATTTATATGCATTAACTGAGACTGCCAGGATTCACATGCAATAGATCTAAGTTATCTTTTATTGCAAAAGATACTAACCTGCTTAATTTGGGCAATTGATTGTAAATTTTACTTTATTTATAACATTTATTTTTTTCTTACCATATGTGTTTCTCTTATTTGTTAATGGGTTCATGTTGTGTTAAATGTCTGGTGTATTGTGTTGTGTTTCTTACTTGCCTGCAAAGCACATTTCCCATCCGGGAAAATAAAAGGAAGTAAGACAGAAAAGTCCTAAACAGAAATGCGCATACCTGTATACAGAATATGTGATTTTTAGTCTGTCTTGATAAACTGAATTTGTTACATGAGTATTGAAAGATAACAAAATAGCATTATATCGGCCTAATTTTCTAAAGAAATTAGAATTCTTGGATTTCCAAACCGATGAGGTCAGTGCATCTTCTTAATGACAGTTTCTCTGTTTGCAAACACCCTCCTTCCCCAGGTTTGGAGTCACCAGCTGCCAATCCGCTCTTCTTTGCTACTATTATCTCTGCATAGAAGGGGGAGTGCCTCATCAGAGTCATCCACCTCCTTCCAGGCTGTGAATTCCACAGTGTGTACAAGAAAATTAGCTCTTATTGAAGAGCTGTGCAGCTCTGTCAACACAGGGATTGCGCAATTCCCACCGTGCATGACAGAACTCCACATACTGTACTGAGGCTGAGTGCCTGGCCCACCCAGCTCCAGTGCTTCTCTGCTCCCCAGTATAGCCCACACCTGATCCAGCTCCAGCCAGCCTGTAGGACGCAACCTGCACTTCAGACAACAGTCCCAACCTTTTCTGTTCAAGAGACCCAGACGGACCCAGTTTAAAGGGAATGAATCCTATCTTATGGGTTACACAGGTTTAACAGCCCTGAGGTTTGCCTCATTGTTCTTTACGCCCAGCCAGCTCCAGAGAGAAGGTGACCGTAACTTCACTCTGTTAATGGGCACAGCAAATTTCTGTCCATGGCATTTCCTCTCCTGTTCATGCGAAAGAGTAGGCTTCTGAAATTATGGGTCAGGTTTGTGGGACTGGCTGACCCTGTTTGCCCTTTGTAAAAGCCAATGTGGTCAGACTTCAAGGAATCAGCTGCCAGAGGAAGAGTTCCAAACAACTGTCAGTTTGGGGTTTTTTTGCGCTCCACAACAAAGCCATTGAACTTATGTTTCTTTGCTCTATTCTGAAAGCATGTATACCAATATGGCCTTGTGTGTCAGTCTGATGCACACGATTGCATATTCTGTTTTGACATAAAGGAGTACTGTATATTGACTGATAGTGGAACATGAAATCTTAGTGCACTCACCTAGTGAAGGTTTGGAATAAATACTTATGTTTTTCAGGGAAAGATCCTACAGATCCTACATCTCCAGTACTGGTGGCGGAGCTGAATAGCTGCTTTCCAGTTAGCAATGAGATCAATTCGTTGGCTATCTGAAATGCAGGTTGTTCCAAAGCAGAACATCCTGACTCCATCATGCTCAAGCAGAAAGTGACACAAAGCATTTGATTACTCATGTCATGAGAGGTAAGACATTTTTCAGTCCCTCTGGTTGAAACAAGATGGTGGATTTCTTTGGATGCGCTGAACAAAAATAATGTGTAGGAAACGGACTTTCTGCTTGTGTATGAAAAAAGACAGCAGATAGTGTATTGACACAATCTGACAAGATGAATTGTGCAACTTATTCTAAGTATTCATAGAAACCATGCCATAGAAAAATAGAGAACTAATCCTGGATGGTTATGTTCTGAATGTGCAGCTGTCAAAAATATTATGCACAATGGTTTATTATGACTTTTAGGTGAAGAACCATTTCTGGCTAGCAAGGTAGAAAGAAATTGTTTAAATTGCCTTTCCATTGCTTATCACACATCCTACCAGATAAAAGGATAAAAAAGAATATTAAACAATAGGTTGCAGAACTGCATAAATTTATTTTATCATGGCTGGTCAAAATATTTTTTTTCTGTTTCCTTACACACTTACCTGAACGAACACTGAATCATTTGTTTTACGTAATTGATCATTTTTGCTCCTTGTTGCATTTGAATGTTCATGCTTTGCTGTGATTAACGGCACTTTGAAACTGAAAACAAAATCTTTTTTGTTTGCATTTAGTGGTTTTCCTCTGAAAGAAAAGTAGAAACCACGGGACAGTGGTGAGTGGATCAACGCCAGATGAAGCATAGGAAAGGATTAAAGTATATTACAGGACTTTAAAAAGCTGAGTCTCAGAGGAATTGTGGGTAGGGCCTCTATTAAATCTACCATTCATCTTTGCCGATTCCCACAGTTTACAGCTTTTTCCTAACTTTTTTTCTCTTGTTAATGACCGAGTAATAACATCCCTGACACAAACCCAGAGAGCTCTGGTTATGATTTTCCTGAGTGGTTGGTAATATGTTCATCAGAGTGGTAGCAGCCACTTACAGCATTTTCAAGAAGAATAATGGA